ATTAGATGAAATACTGAAAGCTTCCAGAGGGAAAACATTGGCACATATGGTACAAATAAGTCAGAACAGCATGGGACTTCCCCAAAAGAGAAAGGAACTGCATGGTGATGGTAGAGGAAGAGCCCCCTTTCCACCTCTCTGGTGGACATCTAACCAGTGGCCTGAGAGGGGACCAGGACTGGTGGGAAGAGGGAAAGGAAATCTGTTAAATGGAATTTTGTGGGGGGAGGCAGGGAAGTTGGGGTAGAGGAATAAAGCCAATGGGTTATTTAATATATTTGAGAATTTGGAAAAAAAGTCTTTATGCATTGAAACATTTATCAAATTATAAAACTCTTAAGCATATGAAAAATGAAGATAATTATCACAGAAACACTAAAAATTGTGTGAAATTAACTTATAATCATAATTATGTATGACTCTTAAGGGAAGTTTACATGGTCATAATAACGTAATCGTAATCACTGACTTCACTAAAAGTATAACAATATTAAGATGGGAAAATAGTGGAAGATACAATGGAGGGTATAGACTGTTCAGAAACTGTAATGAGAGGTTAATGCCAGAAATTAGCAAGTAAAGAAATAGTGGGATGTATATATTATTTATAAATAGGTCAGAAATGTCAACTTTTAAATTAAAATTTAAAATATTAGAAGAGTTTGGGCATCTAAAAGTCATATGCTAGCTGTCTCAAATCTCACTTTCTTTGTTCTCAGTAGTCTGTCTACCAATTTATCCATTCTCCACATGTCAGCCCCAATGAGTTTTTTAAATGCAAATCTTGTTATCTTCATCCAACTCCTAAATTCCATATAGAGCTCATCAGTGGTTTCCCACTGCCTTTGACTAAAACCTTTCAGAGGTTTTGAAGGCCATTCACAGTCAAGTTCCTGACACCTTCCCAAGGCTTATCACTCTACTCTTCCTTTTCCTCTTTGACTTCAGCCATACTGACATTGTTTCTTACTTTTTTTTGAAATGTCAAGCTCTCTATGCTGGGGCTTTGGCATGTGCTATGCAGCTCTCATAGTGCAAAAGATCTCCCTGCCCAAATGCCCACATCCTTTTCATACACACACCCCTTCCACTTTGTGAAAGTATCCCCCCCCCACCTCTTTTTAAAATCCAGTTCAAGAACTCCTTTTAAGAAGAGATATGATGACTCTTAGTCAACATCTGGAACCTCTGGCCTGAGTTCTCTTCTGAGCACCAATGGGTTTCCCTTTTCCATTCCTGATTGAATACTTCACTGAATTCCTGCCCCCTACATTCCTCCCTCTCCTCATTATGCTACAAGCTTCAAGAAATGACAAATTTTGTTTCTCTTTGTTTCACCAGTATGTAGTACTATACTTGGAACAGAAAAGGTTTTCAGTAAATATTTTATAAATGAAAGAGCAAACTCAAAACAGACTAATCATCCAAGATATAAGCAAAGCACTACCTAGCTTTGTCACTTCCTAGCTATGTGACATTGAGCAGGTGCATTAATCACTCAAACCTTGATTTCTTTCACTGTAAACCATAATACATAGTTCAAAAATTATACAGATTATATGAAAGAATACATAGAGAGTAACTTTCGCTCTGTGTTCATGCTATATAAATGTAAGCCTTCTTTTCTTTCCTTTCTTTAAATCATTAATGATGACCTTGGCATGTATTTGATCATAACATGTATTTTCTAAACTTAAAAGTGAAAAGAAAAAAAGATGGCACCTCATCAAGAGCAGTGCGCTTCCAGGGGCAGTGGAACATCCGTGTTCACAGAGTAAAAAGGGCAAGGCTTCCTTAAGCTTCAAAGTTTTCAACCCTGTTCATCATTATTCACATGCTGCCACCAAAACAAGTCTAACTGCGGCACAGTTCATAAGTGCAAAATATTTCATTTGTGGCTGGAATAAATGAGACACATAATCTCATCAAATGTATATTCAGC